CCTTGTCATCCGTTTGGATGACCAAGTTCGCACGATCCAGGATGGCCTGGAATGAGGCGTAATCGTACTCGTTGCCGAGTGCGSTTCGCAGTCCTGCGSATGACCGCGAGAAGAACTCGGATCGTTGGTTAGGAAAACTCAAATCGAAGCCTGGCGTGGTCACTWTCTTTTGCCACTTGGTTGTCCAGTCTTGAGTTGGCGTATTCCCTTGAGAGCAGGTGTACACCTCGTTCATGGCCGCCTTCACGACGTTGCGGACCATGAACCGAGTGAACCATAGCTTCTCGAATTCCTTCCACGTGATGTGCGTGTGGAGTTCGGCGATGGTGCATTTCTTGGTAKCCGCCAGATGGTTCATCCATGCCTGCGCTCCTCCAATCAGTTGTAAGTAGAGCGCCTTCATCATGTCGTCAGCCGGGACAGTGCGGCATGATGCTTCCGTGAGGAAACTTTGCCACCATGTCAAGGCATCCGTCTTATTGTAGTCGTCGAACTTGCTGATGTCGAAGTGCGGCATCTTGTAATTCTTTGTAGCGGCGTCCGGTCTTGTCTGCAGTTTGGTGATGCTCGTCTTGATGGCGGCCACCGTGCTGCTGATCGTGTCCGGTCCGTTGAAAACACCTATGTCGCCGATGATGGTGACGACGTGATCGATGCGTTCGTTGATTTGCTTCGTCGCGTCCGTCGTGCAGCCTGGCGCTGCTGAGGCCTTGGCCTCAATGCCGTTGATGTGTGCGATGGTAGAGTTCATCAGCTGTTGTTGTTGCTGCTGCTGCATTGCTGTGTCGCGGACGCCGGCCGTTACAGCGGCCAGGTCTTGCTGGTACTGCTGTCTTTGCTGTCGTTCCACGTGCAGGTGTGCCTGCAGTAGTTTGTTGTTCCACATTACTTTCCTCATTACGTTCAACATCACGGTAGCCAGGTTACTTCTCTCTGCCTCCGCCTGTGTCGGCTCCGCCTGCGTTTCCGTAGGCACAAAGATCATGCCTTGGAGTACCGTTGTCCACTGATGCTCACTAGCAATCAGGGACTCCGTGCTGGTGGCATTCTGTCTGTTTCATGCCGCTTCGTCAGTCTCAACTGTCCGCTGAGCTTCGGCTGCCGCCTCATTGGCCAGCCGCTGACGTTCTGCCTCTGCCGCAGCCTGCTGAGCCTCGGCGGTGGCTACGGCGTCTGTAAATGCCTGTAGCCGCCCACGATAGTCAGCCAAAGGCTCGCTGGCCTCTCGGACCGGGCATGCGGGAAGATCTCCGGTGGTGTCTTGTACTGTCAATGCCGTACTTGATGCCGC